TTGCATAGTGTAACGTCTGAATTAGAATGAAAAAGTATTTTTTTAAATCAAGTCTAGGGTCCAATCTTTTAGTCTAAATTAAATACAGATTGAAATTGTCCACTGTCACTGCTCTTATTATAAATCCACGTTGATGCTTTTGTGATATGATTCCACTTTCCTAATCACCTGCCCGTGAGGACAGAGGAGGGTTTTTGGACCTTGGCCCGATTCTGTTGCCTCTTTTAACTTGAACAGGATTTTGATCTTATAATCCTAGTAGACCCTAGATTCTTCTGTTCACATTAGAGTCTAATAATAGTCTTTGTTTTAGAGTAGCAGCCTAAAATCCTAACCGTAAAACAGGATCTGTTGGTAATCAGGAAGGTGTAGACACTACTCTAGACGCGCTTAGATCGCAGCAGACCGTGGTCGATAGGATGAGACTTACAATAGACTGCCATAGCCATTATAGCACGGTAGACCTTCAACTAAACTGGCACCAAAGCGTCTCTTTATTTGTGCCATATCATTATTATCAAATTTTACTGCCCATTGGGAACATACAGAGTATCACTAATCACTATAAAATGATTCACAGTTACCAAGCTTACAGACTGCTCTTGAAGACAGCGACACTACTCTGCCCACCCCCTCCATCCACATTCCAGTTGTTAGCAGATACCCTCTCAAGACCATCTGGACTTTTTTTGTTTTAGGTGCCTGCTGTAAATCTTTTTACCTTAAAACACTTTAGGCTGACATATCAAAGAGAAGCTTAGTTTGTTGTGACCTTCTGTTGGGCTTTTAGTTCACTGTTGGTCATCCAGAAATTTTTTTAATGTTGTTTTAACCACAGAGAGACGAAAGTAAACAAATACATTGTGACATTTTCACATAAATTTCCTTTCTCCTGATGCTGCAACACGATGTAGTAAGCTGAAATTGTGAAAATAGATTTATTTGCCTGAAAAGAACGCATTTTTGATGGCTGTCCAGCCCGAACTGAATACATGGTCACCAAAGCTTGATTATGATGTGAAACTTTTGCATCGTGCCTGTGGTCTAACACATTGATGTTTCTGATGGAGCATTGCTGGCTCCTTGCCCTGCAGACAAAAACGGAGGTTTGATTCCACCAAGGTGGATATATATATTTTATTGAGTATCTGTCTTTCTCCTTGTATGTATCTCTCCTGGCCCATGTTGACCCTGAAAAGCAGGATACCCCCCTGGGGCGGTGCTACTGACTGAAGTGTCTTTAGGCCCTTCCCAAAGGGGGGACATTAGCCTGTTCTTATGGAGAGTAGATTTGTAAATTGTAAATGGGCTGATTCATCAATGTCATGCTCATAACTGTGTCTGAACGCAACAGGGAACTGCTGCTTTTTCTTTCCGTATCCTTAGTATCGTCATTTTTTTCTCTGTCACACTCTTGTGACCCGCTATTTCCAGGGTGCCTTGATAGTAGATGCAGACTTCGTGCTGTTGAAGCTAAAGAGGTGAGCAGAGTAAGTCTGATTCCTTGTAAGGACTTCTCTGTTGACATCCTCCCCTTGGCGCTCATATGACCTTATGCAGTTGCGAGCGCCGTAAAACTTCTACTAAAACTAAACTGAAAGGCAGGAGCAACCCGCCTGGTTACTTATGTAAATTGTGTCGATAGCAACGTTATACACATACTTTAAAAAATTTACCCAACAATCGCTGTCTCATATCCTCACCTTTTTATTCCTTTCTCTGTTCCAGGTCTGCGACCATGGGGGCAGGTGGGCCGAGCTCAGGTCCGGGCACAGCCAATCCACTCAAGATTTTTGCCAATATTTTCATTGCGTTTATTGGTGCCGGTGTCCTAGGTCTCCCGTATGCTTTCAAAGAGGTTTGTTGCTTTAGAGTTTTTCTGATGATGTTGCTGGAGGTGAGATAGTTTCGAGAAATTTCAATGAAAACTTTCATAGTCTGTTGGGCAATGCATACAACAGATGATGGCTTTTTCAAAACTCTTTCAAGATTTTTCTTTATACTAGCATGTCCTTCTGTATCAGAGTTTTGTCTGTTGATGGACAATGAAGTGTCATCTGGTTTTATGTAAGATTTCAATGCCGTGTGATTTAATGTATACAGTTTCTTCCTTTTTTTGTTAACTCTTAGTGTACAGAAGGCTGTATCTCATTTGTACACAATTAGTTTTGTCACCCAAGTAGTCAGCATTACAAACTTCCCAATAGTTGCACTCCTCCTAGTGGGTGATTGGCGGGTGCTCTTTGTGGTTTGCTTCTTTTTTCCTATCAAACATCTATCATCCTTATCTCGTCTCCTTTTATGTGTTTTTTACTCTCTTGTTACACCTGTAACCTTTGGCATTTGTATGACCTTATTGTGTTGCAAGTGCTGTAAAAGTCTTACTAAAACTAAAACACTCCTCTTTAATCTATCAACATAAGATGAGCACCTAACTCTGTAGAAATGATTGATACAAGCAATAAACATATTGATTATAAATCACACACGTTTGTTGGGGTCTGGTAGATTTTTGTTGTGACTGTAAACCACCAAGTGATTGCTGTGAACCAAATGAATTGGCAGGCAGTTTACGAAGAGCTACGAAGGATCACCTGAAAATGTTTCTCCCAAAGGTGGGCCTGTGTTAGAAAATGTTGAAAACCACTGTTGCAAGTGAAGTATCTAGCTTTCAATGAATTTCGATTCTTCATGCAATTCTCCAAACTGAAAGTGAACAAGCTCGCTGTCTGTGATCATATGTTTAGTTAATTGATTAATTACGGGCTGTGACAGTTATACGGGGTACCCACTACGGTTGGATCGGGCTGATCATCCGACTCGATTGCCTGAAACTGAAAACAAACACGTTTGTTTTTGAGATGACCGAGTCGGGCGATTGGCCGATCCCATCCGTAGTGGGTACCCCGTATTAGGTTACAGCTCTTCATTTGTGTTTATAGGTAAAAGTGAAATTGCTTTGTACAGAGAGAGGCCATCACAACCTGAGCTGATCCCGAAGTTTGTTGCGTCCTGAGATCATTTTATCTCTCCATGGTGAAGAATGGTTGGTCAGATATCAGCACCAGGAAAATTTTTTATGCAGGAGCCTGACATAGCTTTTTGTTTCAAGAGTGACGGCGATATTGGACTCATACAAAACATGTGTCTTACCGAATGGTGCATGACTGTAGTATGTTCCTCTTTTTACAATATATAGAGATACATCTATAATGTTGCCCCTGGAAGTTGATTCATAACAAAGTGGTTTCCTCCCTCTCAGGCTGGCCTCCTAGAAAGCTCTGTTATCATGGCTGTTGTTGGAGTCATCAGGTGAGAATAACAATTAAAACTTCTGATGGTAAAAGTAGCGTCTGATACAAATTTATGAGTCATGCCAATAAATGCTAATTTTACTTTTGCTTTCCTTTTTTTTTACTGGCTTACTTTATTTGAAGAAAAAAAAAAGTAAGCCAGTAAATGCTTATTTGATTTTTCTTTTTTTTGAATACTTAAATTTTTGCCCTTTATATGTTTTTATGCGTTTATCACACACATTTACCCATTTCCCTGCATTGGTACAAGCTTATAGTGTGGGAAGAACTTTTCTCTGCAATGGGTATTACACATAATTAATGTTTTAGAATGAGTAATTGTTGAATGGTGGTCTTGCAGTTTCCGGTATTTGGATTTTGGTCATTTTCATTCATAAGATAGCAGGCGAACAGTATTTAAATTTTACCTCCCCGTTAGCCAAGAAAGTATTCGTCTTTCAGTCAGCTGGTTGGTTTATCTTTTTAAATGGATATATCAGTGTTTCTTGTCTTGTTTATCTTTTGTACACCACCCAAACAAACAGTTCACTTAATGATTTCTGGGCCAAAGTTCATACTCTTAAGACTTTGGTTATTTTTTATAGTCACATATGTGGAAGAACTGATTGGGGCTGACTTTGAAGATATGAAGCTTGACTGCTTCTTGAATTGCCGTTTGTTTTAGTAGTAGGCGTTTTAAGGCACTTGCTACACAATAAACTCATTTAAGTGTTAAAGATTAGGGGTGTCACAAGAGTAACAAACACAAAAAAGGAGGAAAGATAAGGACGATAAATTTTCGATAGGAAAGAAGGAGCAAACCAGAGCATCTGCCAACCACCCTCTTGAATTCATCTTTGGTGCAAAGTTCATTGGTGGGTCTGATACATATGAAAATGTGTATGTGTTTCCTAGTGTGGAATGGTAATAAGTAGAACATCTCTATGATCCTGTCAAACTTATATTGCTCCCTGTGATACACAGGTCACTGCAAGCAGTGTGTGTTTATAATCACGCAGTTGGTTTGAAGAGGCTTCTGATAGGCTCTACTTTTTTTTTTCTCTCAATCCTTAGTCTATCTTGCTTTTTCCTTTCACTAAATAGCCATTATTGTGTCAATGTGCATCTATTTTTTTTTTCAAAACTAAAAACAATGTAATACTGGTACAATTTTAACACTTTTAGTACCATCTGCAACTTAAGTTGCCAGGCCGTAGTATGCGCTCATTACTGCTGGCAACTTTAGTCACCAACTCAACCAGGCATACTAAACATAATTAAACAACAAAACAGAGCCTCTGCACTGAAGTAAATACCAAAGTAAGTCACTCTTTGTGATATCTGAATGGCTGATGAAACTCAGTGAATTTCTAAATTGCATTTCTTGGGCTGTGAAGGGTTTTTGTTATTTTAACAAATTCTACCATAACTTCAGCATTCTAAACTGGTGCGGTGCTGGAGGGTATTTCACAATATGAGCGTTCGATAGTGTAAGTGTTAAACCTTGTTTACTTTGCCAGGAAAGAAATTCTTGTCTGTAAAGCTTTGTTTTGAAGTGACTTTTTATTTCTTGTTCTTTTACTTCAAATCAAATCCCAGTTCAAGCTGCCTGTGATGGTGATTTTTTTCTGAAACAAACAGATTTGTAGCTTACTTAAAGTATTTCCTCAACACCTGGCGTATTGCTATAAACATGAAGTAAAAATTTGCTCTTGTTTGTTAGTACGATGCATATCGCTTTTGAGCAGATGGGCTGGTGAAGCAGATGCGTTGTTTTACATTTAAATATTGATTAGGAAATTGAGTTTCTTTTCAAGGGAACAGCCAAGCTGTTGCACTTACCTGTCAATAGCCTTTACAACTCTCCTCGATTTTGACTATCGTGGACACCAGTTTTATGATTTAAAGTTTAGGCTTAGATCAAGCCCTGATTATAGCCTATTCGATTTTGTTTCTTTTGGGTTTAAGATAAGTTAATTGAACAAACACAAGGATGTTTGCGTTGTGTTGGGAATGTTACGAAATTAAAAGAGCTGAGACAATGAAAGGTAGAGAGGACTTGTATTCTATTAGGGTAGGTTTGGGGAAAATTATTGATTATTGTATCAAAATCCTTTCCTGTGTGGGTGGGGGGGGGGAGGTGGTAGCAAAATATATATTTTGTGAATGTGTATGTTCTTACATTTAAGATGATCTGGAATTACAGTAAGATTATGATGATACTGATGTTTTTTGTTCATGAGTGTAAACAAATTATTTTTGACCTTGTATTCTCATTTTTTTCCTCCGTCTCAGCGTCAAAGCTATGCTGTTACTAGTAGATTGCAAGTACCGTATTTTGGAGGGTCGAAAGAAGGAAGAGAATGGCATCCTGCTGAAGGATGGAAACCATTATGCAGAAACATCGTTCCGATCCGATGACCAGCAAGACCTTCTACGCTGTGAAGAACAGCTTAACACAGAGATCAAGTATCGTGTGCCGTCAAGAGTGGTATGCTCGAGCGTTTGTTTCTTTTAGCTGCTAACAATGACAATTGATGAATAGAGATGGGTACATTTACAACCGAAATGTTACAAGGTAGATATACTTGTTAAAGTAACTTGTCTTATTTCTCTGTGTATCTTTCTTCCTCTCTTAATTTCTGTCTGACTCTCTCTGTCTCTGTGTGTGGATAGAAGATGCCATTGTTAGGTCTTACTTCTTTTTTTTCTCTCCTTTGTGTCTGTCTGGCTGTCTTGCTTTTTCCAACTGACAGAAGGATCGCTTGACCTTGTAATGACTCCTTTGGCCAGGCGATTCATTTCATGTTGGTTTTTATTCAGTTGACACTGGAAGTAATAGCATTCCTACTGATTTTGTAAGTAACCTATACTGCTGCATAAACCTAAGAATACAAGACAAAGAACCTTTGTGGGTGAATCTCTGCCGTACCTGGCTTATCTCTCCTCCTTTTTTTTTTTTTGTGTTTGTTACTCTCTTGTAACACCTCGACTCTTCGGCACTTGTGTGACCTTATCATGTTGCAAGTGCCTTAAAACGCTTACTAAAACTGAAAAAAAAAAACCCATCTCTACAGCTCCATGTCACTGGATGAGGTTGTCCTCTGTTTTATGACTGCTTGATATACATTAAATTTTGATGAAATATATACATTTAATTTCTATGTATACCTGCATGTGTTTTTACGGTCATGTACAACCAAGAAAAAAATCTACCTCTATGAAATAAAGTATTGTCTTCTCTTATCTTGTTCATCATCCTACTATTTTCTTGGTAAACATTCACATGATAAAGTAATCATGCCTGAACTGCCTTTATGATTGGTAACCCGATCTGAAAGTCAACATTCACTACCCTGCTTTTGTGTCTTTTCTACAGGATATGGAGCTCTCATATGGAGATGTCGGTAAGGAAAAAGATTATGTTATTGACTGAAGATTGGGAGTTGTGTGTGCGTGCAAGTGTATGTGTGTGTGGTGGGTATGTGTGTGTGTGTGTGTGCACACGTGTATGTGTGTGTGTGTGTGT